TCCAGAATGTGTTGGTGGTTTCCTGCCCACACCTAACAACTTTCCACCTCTGGATCCTCCTGGCATACCTACCCCATCCTACATGGCCCATACAACAAAATCTCTTCCTTTTTCCTTCCTGTATCCTTGTCCCAGGTCTGTCGTCTAAGCATACTTTCCCTTCTCTAAATCTTCACATTTTATTTATACTACTTAAAAGGATTTGTCATTTTGTATCCTGTATTTTAATAACTTATGGATTTGATATCTTCTAAGCTAGGTGTGAGACCCATTTATCTCCATACTCTGCACTGCAAAAGTGCCTTCTTGGAACATAGAAAGTACTAAAAACAGATGGAATAAATTAATAATTAAGTGTATAAGTGATCTTTATCTTTCTAAATTAGAATTTAAATATACCAGGGAATTTCAGAAGATCCTATAATGTGTATTCTTTACTATTTACTGTAGCTTTAGATTCACAAAGATGACAAAATTAGTCCTTAGAAAAGGGAAAATTTGGTACCTGATGCATGGTAAACTGTTCCTTGGGGATCTAAAGGGAGAGCACACACTACTAGCACATACCACCACCAAACAACAGTGGAAGGAGAGATCTGTCTGGAAGTCAATGCAGAACTGCCACATGGGGTGGACAAAGGACAGTACATATATCTTGTGAGGCTGTTGAAGGGATTGAACACAAACACATGTAAAGTGCCTAGGACAGTACCTGGCACCTAATCCTTATATAATAAACGTTATTTATTAATTCACACAGAAATGGATACAACAGGTGGGATGTTAAGTGTCCAAGTCAAGGTGGGGTATGGGACAGTGAGAAATCACTCACCAGGAATTTCCTCTTTAGAAAACTGATGCTCCCTATCTCTGATTTCACCAAGCCTCTGGTTAAAGCACTCTGTTTCTGTTATAACCGTAGGCTTCAGGCATGTGCCCACTGAGGCCACACTCTATAGGGCCTGGCAGAAAATGGTAAGGTGTGCTATCTCTCATGGCCATTGTCCTTGGCCATTTCATGAAGGCTATGTCCTTCATGAAAGAGATCAGCTTTAGTCCCAGATAGCCTGACTAAAAGGAAAGAGGAAAGAAGACAGCTTTCCCTAGAGGTTTTTTCTGCTTATGGTCAGCCACTCAAGAGGGCCAAGAGTCAAAACATCATGTCCCTTGCAGGGTTAGCAAAGTCAAGTTAGTGGCAAGCAAAGCAGGGAGATTAAAAGTGTAATGCGAGATAAAACTGGGACACACGGAAATCCTAAAAAACACACCTTTCCCAATCACCTCCTGCTGTGCACATCCCAAAGATGAAAGCTACCCCAACTGCAAAGAAAAATATTACATCCACCAGAAGGTAATCTAGGGACAAGAAACCTTTAAATTCCTCTCACTCTAGCACAGTAATGCATTCACCACGAGTTGCTGATGTGAAGGTTGTAAAAAAATTTTACATGCTTACCATATAATTAATATGTAGATGAGAAAACTAGGCACAGAACGATTAAGTAAAGTGCTCAAGGACTCACAGCTAATAAATTTTGAAGCCAAGATTCAGAGTTAGGCAGTCTAACTTTAGAGATCATCCCCTTAAACACTTCGCTATCTTGCCTCTCAATTTAGAATGCAGAAAAAGTATAGTTTAATATCCTTGGTTGTATGGAAAAGAAAAAAAAAGCTCCCAAAGTAGACGATGTAAGTAGTTAGTAAAAGATCTGGTACACAGAACCCAAGGGTTGTGAGGACGGGAAAACATTTATGATGGAAAAGAAACATCTCTCAAAGCCAATCAAACATTCCAAAATTATATACTCCTACATTAAAATAAGGAGTTCACGAGTGAAAATAATGTGCGAATAATTGGAAATACTATCTAAAATATATAAGCAATTCATCTTTACTAAATGTCAAATATAAGGTATTTATCCAATGATAACGTAACACAAAAATTGGGTGATTTGTTTTCACATTAGTAAACAGGTTCAGTAAGAGATAAGTTGACCTTTATCTTAAAGTATAAAAATTAATTACATGTTTTGTGGTGTTTGCAACCTTTGTAGAAGCAAAGTGCTCTTTAATTTTCAAGTTTCTCTTCCTGAAAAGATTAGGTGAAAATATCATAGCATTTATCAAAAACAAGAAGAAAATGAGTAAGGTTTTATATATTAGAATAGGCAATGTAAACAAAAAAAAGCCAACAAAAAATAATTTAGGTTATCTTGAATGTCTAGATAGGCTCTCAACTCATAATAAAAACTTTAAGTGAAATCCTACTTATAAAAAATAAAGGCTTTAAAGATATCAGAGTGAATTCATGCAGTTATGAGAGATATTTAAGCCAAGAATTAAAGTGAAACTTAAATCTGCTTTCTTCTACATCCCACTTGGTTTTAGAAGTTAAGAAGAAATGCTTTAAACACAAAACCATGATGTTCTTTTGTATATTTAGGCTACAAAGCTTCTTCTTTTTTTTTTTTTCCAGGACTACAGGCAGTTATTTATTCACAGGAATGGTATAAATTGGTTGAATAATCTCCTTTACATTTTTGAAATCATTTATACCTTGTACAACTGATACCGCCCAATGTGAAGTGATCCTCATCACAACAAATCCCCTATCAGTGGTTCTTTCTTGAATTGTATTTCCTCTCTTCTGCTACTGAGAGAGATGAAGATAACGTCACTACTATACAGGGAGACATAAACAAATTTGGGCCTGTAGCTACTTAGAAAGCAGGCTTTAGGACATATAAGAATAAGGGAGAAAATAAATGTACAATTATGGTCTTCAAGCAGCATGAAGTATGTTACAAACTAAATTGTTTTTTAGTGCAGGTGTTCAATGAATTCATTTTAAAAACACAAAATAATATTAGCTACAATGCTATACAGCTTCTTAAGTATTGTTCTAAGAGACTGCATCAAATTTTCCCAAACAGGCCCTAAAGCCTTTTTCAGGGAAAACAAAAATCATTAGAAAATTATTACAATTGTGTATGTGCAGTGTTAATGCAACTTTTCTGACATTATACATTTACATTCATATAAATGAAACCAAAGTTTCGTGAAACAATACTTAGCATAGGCCATGTTCTCTGATACTTCTTCTATTTTCTTAAAAAAAATTTTGATGCCAACTTATCATATTGATTACTTGACCCATTAGTGGTTCTATAGTGGACCAGACAATACAAACATGAAGTACTTACAAGTTCCTGTGAGAAATCTACCCCAAAACATTGCTTGTTATTTCAGTGTTGCTTTAAGAAGAGAAAGAAGGAAGCGTGAAACAAGCCTGTCTCTGCCGAGGTATCAGAATCAGAAGTGGATGTTGCCATTGCTCATTTGTGTTTTGCCACAGGAGGGGTAATAAAAGGGGTTAGACAGACACCAACCCACTTTGAAGCAGTCCCCAGGTTGTGTTCATAAAGTTTAGTGGGGGTTACAGGTAAATCCCTCTGTGTCTTCCCCAGAGAAAAATGGGAGTTCATAACTACTCAGACTGGCAGGAACCAAATTCCTCTGTAGAGGGCTCAGGCCAGGTGGGCAAAAGCTGACCATGGCTGGCACTGTCCGATTCACATAGCAGGCTGTCCTACCCACTTCCCCTGCATTGTGTCCTCACACTTCCATCTCATGGCTTATTACTAGAAAAAAGCTGAAAAGCAAGCTAACAGTCTTTTAAGACAAGAACAGGTTTAATCTAATTTTTTCCAAGTAAAAGAAACATCCACATACCCCATTCCTTTCTTCAGACAAAATCTTCAATAAATCCCAATATATATGACAGAGCTGTTGCTATGCTGAGGAGAAGTGCTGCAGACAGTCCTGCCCAATCCTCCTCCCTCCTTATCGGTCAGCCCGTCAGGCTCCTCCATGGAACCCTAGTCCTCTAGAAATGCAGCAATACGGTCATAGCTAAGCATATTTAATGATCCTCGCCAAAGGCAATCAAACCAGTGCCATATTTGCTCTCTCTAAATCCCACCCTAATACAGAACTCCTTAAAACTTCAGCAAGTGATGCTTCACCAATAACCTACATAAAGCAACATTTCTGAAACTGTCACTCTACATTTGGCTTTTTCTTCTATCAAACTGATAGATTGTCAGAAATAGAGTATCAGCCAAACCAGTTGGGTCCTTACTCCTTATTGCCTGCATTGTAATAGCTCTTGTTATTACAAAGTACCAATGAATCCAGCCAACCAAACTCTTGTGATAGCCACTCCAATACAAAGTATGATTCTAAGAAGATGACGGGACTATCACAAGATTTATGTTACTATAGAAGTATGAAAACATGTTTCGATATAGCTGAAGCTGAATTATTTCTTCTTTTCTTTTACAAAGAAATGTTGGAATTGCTTAGATTCATCAAATCTGGCATCACCTAGGGGAGAAGGGGCTGCTTTCTCAGCCCACTTTACTAGTCTTGATAGGATAAGGCACAGCCAAGGGAATAAGAGACGTGAAGATGCAGTGCTGCTGTTACTACACTCACCCGGTAATGCAATGCTTCCTGTGATAAAGATTAAACAAACCATATTTTTCTTTCAAGAGACTGTCTTGAATCTTTATAAATATATGTGCTTTCTGAGAAACTGAAACCTTTAAAAAGGCTGAAATTAAATAATTTATCATGCTGAATGGGAGGAAAAACCTGTTTCTAGTAAAACAGAACTGAGAGGAACTTTATAAAAGAGTACAGAAGTAGAGATTAATTCCTTAAAAGAGTTATTTGGATGTAGCACACAATGACAATAACAGGCAGAAAAGTTAAGATTTGGATAGATCTATTCATATCCTAACATTGGGTCTTGCATTAAAAATTGTAACTTTAAAGCTTCTTCCTGTAAGGAAATTTCCACTCCCCCAATACATTTACTTATTACATTATTTCAATTATTTAAAAAACTCAACTCTAGCTGTCCACCATTTTTTTTGCATAGTTAATACTTTGACGTAACTTTCAAAATGATGTCTGGTAATGAAAAAAAATAGTACCTTTTCCAATTCTCTTGGTATTCGCAAACAAGTGTATACTCTTTCTCTTCTTTCTGTATACTTGGCCTCATTATGTTCAAGGAAGTACCCTCTTGTTAGTTCAGCACTGAGGAACCTCAATAATGAAAGCTCTACAGAAAAAGAAAATGACAGAAAACAAAAAGAACAGTATTTATTAAGGAACTTACACACTCGCTAGGGCCATAGGTAATATACATTCAAAACAAAAAGACCAAAATAAACGTAATCTATAATTCTATGCCTAGAACTTAACAACTACACGCAATGTTCAACAAGCATTTTTGAGAAAAGTATTTTTCTGTGTGGTATAAACTGAAAATGCCACAGGAATATGGAAGGGAATGATTACTAAGGGCTAGAATAGTCAGAAAAGTATTTTTCAAGAGCTCAGTCTTGAGTCTTACAGGTGATACAGGACTTGCCTGGACTGGCAGAGATGAGGGATGGAAAATCAGCAGCTATCAAAAATATATAAAACAGAGCGATACATAGAGTCGAAAGGGAGCCAAGTCACACAACTGGCACTGCTTTAGTCCAACCACCATTGTGGGCGAACTACATGGATACTGGTACCCCAGCTCCCTTCTTAGTTCAGCCTCAGATATCCTGCACAAATGTCTAAACAATGCCAAATGAAGACTTACCAACATGATACTAACAATAGTTATACAAAGTGGAATCTCAACTAGATCAGAAAAACCTCCCTTTCCTTGGATCTTTCCATTCACCCATGTATTTCCTTTGTTTCTCTAAAGCAAATTACTCCGTAATCATCTCATCTCAGATGAGAAAATCAAGGTCAAAGGAAGTTAAATACTGTCCACTCACTACAATTGGCAGCTTGAGGTGAGAAGCTAAGGCTCTGGATGTTCCACACCACCTCTTCTCAGTGCATTACACTTCCCTGACAGCCCATCCCCTCAATGCCCCTCAGCACCCCTTACTTCATCTACACCTTCCTACTTTTACTCTGCAGGAGGTAAAGTCTCTTCCAGAATGCAGGTTACCAAAAGGTTTCCAACTGTCCACTGTTCTCTTTGCTCTAAGCTGGCCTTGTGGTCCTTTTTACCAAATATAGTATTAATGTTCCCTCTAAAAACTGACAGAGGAGGAAGGTTGATTTCATTTATGTGGATCTACTTAAGGAATTGCCCCTTCTGAGTGCTATGATCTAAAGCCTATACGTGAAGGGGAAAGAATTTATAGTAAAAAATATCCTTGGCAGCGTGTGGTGGCTCATGCCTGTAATCCCAGCACTTTGGGAGGCCAAGGTGGGCAAATCACAAGGTCAGGAGTTCAAGATCAGCCTGGCTAACACAGTGAAATCCTGTCTCTACTAAAAGTACAAAAAAAAAATTAGCTGGGCATGGTGGCGGACGCCTGTAGTCCCAGCTACTTGGGAGGCTGAGGCAGGAGAATCACTTGAACTCAGGAAGCAGAGGTTGCAGTGTGCTGAAATTGCGCCACTGCAGTCCAGCCTGGGCAACACAGTAAGGCTCTGTTTAAAAAAAAAAAAAAAAAAAAAAAAAAAATTTTAAAAGCCCTTAGAAAGACTGAGAAGCCAACTTGATTATGGCTCTAAACAACAGGTCTACAACAGCTTACCTCCTCCAGCACTTAAACAGAGGCCTAATTCTTTGAGTATTATGTCAAGTGGCTTGCTTATGTTAGGATTTATTCCATATACATGTGTATACACACACACACACACACACACACACACACACACACTCTCTCTCTCTCTCTCTCTCTCTCTTTAAAAACCAAATTCATAATCTGTTTGGGGAGTCAGTGTTACCGTGACAGATATCTGGAGCTGAAACAGCAGGAGAGAAAAGCAGACTTCTTTCTATCTATGTCAGCCTCAGGCAACAGGAAGTGGACTCTATCTATGTGTTGTACTTTCTGTCTTCGGTACATTTACAGTTGAAGTCATGTGGGTCACATGTATGCAACATGTGAACTCTACTGTACATATTAACAAATGTTTGGATTTAAAGGATTTAGTCTAATCAAATCCATGTAGGGTAGAACTTCTGGTTAGCAACTTTCTAATATGTGCTATGCTGGCTAGAACCAGAATGAAATCTGTTCTCTCAAGAGGAGAGAAAGCAAGCCTTCTGAGTTGCAAACAAAAGCAGCCAAGACTAATGAAAGATAAAAAGAATCATACTCAGTTCAGTCAGTTTTCCAATTAGGAAGAAAAGTATGTTTCGATTAGTTGGTATCTACAAATACCAGTTCTTTCATGTAAGAATTGAAAAGCACAGGACTTTCAGAAGCAGAGGTGATTCTACATACATAATTTTTCACTGACCTTAGTGAACTCGAAATTTGAACTCCAGGGGTCACTTCACCATACTCTCCAGACAGCAGCCAACCTTGCAGCTTCCCCATCCCTCCCTCCTACCCAAACCTGATTTACTGGTGCTCTTCTCTCTTGAATGGCTAATTTTTCCCATCTAAGTCTCTTTGGCAGCTCTTCCACCTCTACCTGACTCTGAAATGTTTGCTGGCTCAGTGCTCTATTCACTACAGTAAAATGTCAGCCCTCCTCTAATGCTGGTATTCTCCAATATGTCCTCATCATTTTTTCTAGTATTTATTTCCTATACATACTTTGTTTCCTATATATTCCTAACTAAAATTAAAACCACATCAAAATCCTAAAGTCATCACATCTTCAGCTCTGGCTCATATTTCCAACAGCTTCCTCTATCTGGATATCTCATAGGCACTGAATCACCTACAAAATGAAAGCGGTATCTTGCCCACTGATTCTGTACCTCTCCTGAAGTCCAGACTTTAGTTCCTGGCTTTACCAGCGACACACAGTTGCTGTACTAGAAGCCCAGGGCCAATCTTGACAATCTCCTCACTCTTCTTACCAAGGCCTACCAATTCTTCCTTTAAAACACTAACTTTTTCCCCTTTTTGCTATACTCCACCCTAGTTTAATCCTCCCTACCTCTCTTAAGTTTACTGCAAAAGCTTCTTGACTGAGCACCATTCTTCCCATCTTTCCTCCCTTCAGTGCTAACTCAACTTGGCAGTTAGTCAGCACCTCACACAGATCAGATATGGCTCTGAAACCCTTCAGTGGTTCTTCATTACCTACGGAATAAAGTCCTATCTCCTCAGTGCAGGCCATCCTAGATCCTTTACGACTGGCAACAGACCATCTATTTAGTCATGCTTCACACCTGGCTCGCCTGAGTCTCTAGGTCACAATTTTCTGCTTATCGTATTTTTCATTTCTCCCAAACATGTCAATGGATTCACACTGTTCCTTGGTCCAAGAATTCTCTATCAGTTTTCTAGGAGTGATCATGCCCAGACATTACCTTCTCTGTGAAGACTTCCCTAAGTTTCTCAGGCAGAGTCTGTCCTTTCCCCTGCTTGGCTTCTATAGTACCTGCACTTGCCTGTGATTTTCCACAGCTTACTACATTCATTTTCTTGTCTGGTTTTCTCGTTTATCTTTTCATCACTAGGACTCAGCACATAATAGGTACTCAACAAATGTTTGCTAAAACGATATATGGGTCAGAGAAGAAGGAAAATCACAGAGAACAAAAACCATCAGACAGTGAAAATCTAAAAACGAAATAGAAAGGGAAGTGACTAAGAAAAGAAAGAATTATAGACATAAAATGAAGTGGCCAAATTAGTCTCTTTAGGAGGCAGGCAACAAAGAACAGAACTGACACAGAATTGAGGAAGCAATGCAATCGGCCAACTGGGCTACACTTTCATGTGGGTGATTTGTCCCTTCTGATATGATGATGTCTGCAATTTTCCCATTTTACTTTATCGCTAAATTTCTCTACTGAAAGATGATCTATATAAATACAAAAGTAGAATTAGTCAAAATGTTCAATAGTAATGGGATTGCTTAATCAATAACAATGTACCAATATAAAAAAAAAAAAAATCAGAAGTGGCAAAAGAAGAGCATACCAGATACTTGAGAAAAGAACTTGGGATGATGACAGAATTGTTCTGAGACTCAGGGAGTTAGCAGGGAAGTAGTGAAAAGCTTCACTCAATGTAGCAGCTACTGAGGATACAGGAGCCTCTACACTGTATGTGTAGCTAAGTGACTATAAAGGTAACCCAACAGGTACCCGAAGCTCATACCCCTGAGGAAACAAGGTACCATGATGCAGTCACAGCTAGTGAGTGCCCTGGCTTCAGGAATAAGGAGACCCTCACTGTCAACACTAAGTGCAAGGAAAGAAGTTAGGCAGCCCACAAGCATGCCATCTGGGTTAAAGAGGTCAGAAACACATTACTGCACAATCATTCAAAATTTTAAAAAGCAAATTAAATAAAAAGGTTTATTTGGGGCCAGGTGTGGTGGCTCATGCCTATAATCATAGCACTTTGGGAGGCCAAGGAAAGCAGATCACCTGAGGTCAGGAGTTCGAAACCGGCCTGCCCAAAATAGTGAAACCCCATCTCCACTAAAAATACAGAGGCAGGAGAATCGCTTGAACCCAGAAGGCAGAGGTTGCAGTGAGCTGAGATCACCCCAGTGTACTTCAGCTTGGACAACAAGAGCAAAATTCCGTATCAAAAAAAAAAAAAAGGTTTATTTAAATTCTCCACAATGGTGTCTTCTCTGGTGACTGCAGATAGATGACAGCTTTGACCATAATGAGAGTTGTGTTGTGACCTACAGAAGAGCATGGGATTAGCAATCAGAGGAAGGGAGTCCTGGTACTAGCTCTCCACATATTAGTCCTGGGACCCTGGTGCAGTCACAGGTGTCAATTTTACCGAAGAGAAAACGGAAGCTTAGAGAAGTTTTTAATACCTGTCAACTGTTTGCCTTATCCACAGAATCATCAAAGGACTAAGAGAGTATTTGTATGAAAGTATATAAAATCTGCAAAGCATGAAACAGTGTCTTGAACTACTTCCTATAAACTTCACAAGTACTGTAGTATTACAATTCTGGTTTGGTGGTTATCTTCTTGTTCTATGGTTAAAAGGTAATATAACAAATAAGTATATTAATAAACTATATCACCAAAGTAATTTTCTGTAATAGGGTGTCATACAACATAAACACATGAGTGTTTTAATTACAAGTACAAAACAATGC